GCTTTGGCGTCTTTGATCCGAACCGCGCGACGCGTACAGTCGACGTCTGGTCCGATCCGCACAGCTGACCTTCGCCCGTTGCCGAGTGGAGAGCAAAGCTCGCTGTGCGCGGCGCTTGAGCGTCAATACAAAGAGCGTCAATACACAGGGTCTTGCACGCTGGAACACTCCAGGAATGTGGACGCGCATTTGTGGCTACAAAGCGGCCATCGAAGTCGACGCCCTAGGGAACGAAGGGATCGGGATGAGAAGGACATCGAGCTGTGGCAACTTCACCATCAGAAAAAAGAAGTCCCGACATGGCAAAAACGAAAATGTAAACAACGTATCTTAGATTTCCGGTCATGGAGATAGGTACTTTCCAAGCTGCCACCTTATTGTGAGAAATGTTTAATAAACTACACCGAGTCTAATACATGTCAACCAGAAATGAAAAACCTGAAAGAATGCGAAACGTTAATGGTTGACCTGACAACCGTACTTCAAACATTGGATTGCGTACTTCTACATACGGAAGAAACGAGTTTCTAGAAACCTACCATATTGACGGCATGTTTGATCATTACAAACTGGACGAGCAATAGAATCATTTAACACTTGTGACTGCCTCCGAGGAATAGTTTCAGTAACATGAACTCAACTGCACGTTTTGCATGACCTGTATTGTGGAGGCACCGCGTGTCCTTTGCTCCAAAATTCCCACCTAACCCTGCTCTTCGTATTGCGTGTGTGACTTGCGGCGCCAACCGTATTGACCTGCACTTCGTCACACAACTTCAGCGTAAAGGGTAGCCGGTAGCCGGGTAGCGAAAAGAGAAAAAAAAACTATTTCGACCTAGTTTCAATCTATTTCAAGTCCGAATATCTTATGGTTTCAATCTATTTATGTCTTCTCTTTGTTTCCTTTTTTCTCGATACTTCACTCAGGCTGGCGCCGCGCTCCTGGCCGCGCTCGGGTGAAACGTAAATTCTCTAAGGATCCTTGGTCCACACTTCGCCTTGGATGAGCAACAAACACGTAAAGCGCCGCTTCTCTCTTTTTTCTCTCCTCGTTTGCCTAAATTCACCACGAATGCAAAACCTTGTGGACAAGCCTTGACTCACCGAAATGCCGTGACAAAACCTTCCCTTGGATGCCTTTTCAAGGACTTCATGCTCCGCAGGGTTTGCGCGCAACTTGTTTGGCGTGATCCAACTGTGGTGGTTTGATGGGCGCTGTGATTGCGATCTGAAGGTGACACCGGGTGGAAGCCAAAAGCGATCAAGCTGGTCGGCAAATGGGTTCTGTTTCCCGAAATGACAGCGATGTGTTCCACACCCGGCTGTTCTCACGCTTTTTCTGGCAGGTGAAAAACGTTGTCATGTGCTGTGGAGGAAGCGAAAGGCTGCAACGTTTCTCTTGAAACTTTGACCTTCATTGGTCTTCCTCACCTGTTGCGCATTGGCCCAAATTGCGAGACTTACAAAAGATCTTCCCACTTAACTTCGCAACGGGATGTTGGCAAGAGGGCTCTGCGCAAAACTTCCCATACTCAAACAACCCGCCGGGCTCGTTTCCGCGCGGTTGAAGACATTTGTCAAATCTTCACGTGGTTAATGATGACGAATGTCCGGTGTGTGACTGTGTTTTGAAATGTTTGTTGCAGCATGTAGTACATGAAAACAACTCGAAAATCGTTGCGATTTGGACATCGAAATGCTACGAGACTGTGGCTTCGTGCCAAAACAAAGGCGCGATTTTCACCTTCACGTGAACGCAAGCTAGTGGGGACCGACTCCTTACACAAACGCCACATACCATCAATGGCACCGGTGTGGATGAGCAGCTCTCCTGACCTCAAGCATCTGACAATCCCCCGAATGGAAAAACTTCGGAATAAGCAAGCAGTCGGTAACCACCACGCCAGGTTCCCATGCGTCGACGGCTAAAAAAAGAACTCACACACCCCGACCACCTGCGCGTACCGACCTGTCTGTGTGTGTGTCAACCCCTGTTCCAAAGGGTACCGAGTTTCTTGATGGTTCCATCGTGCAAGCAGGGGGCCCAGGCAGTTGTGAGGTAGCCCTGGACCAACGAAGACGGGCTCACGACTGGTGAAGCGAGAAGGGACGCCTTCTTGTGTACCTGCGCCAACTGTTGATTAAGCTGTTCCAATCCTTCTTTTTTGATTCCATGGTGGTTCCACGATACCTCCCCTAAACCTTTTCCCACCGCTGACCTGCAGCCGCCTTGCCGCTGTGCGCTTTCCGCAGTCAAGTGTGAAAACCATTTTGTTAAAACACCTACACTTTCCTGGATCTTTCGCCATGCAGTTCTCTCACCTTCCTTCTCACCGTGGGAATTGAGTTAACAGCAAACCAATGTCAGAGTGTGAACCACTCAGCCGCCCCACTTGGGTGCTGGGTGTGATCCTCCGCAAGGAGGCGCTGTTTTCATACCGGAAATCGTTTTCCTGAATTATCGCCGTTTCATCGTGGATCACTGTCTTTTCTTCCATGCCAACACTGAATTAACTGGATTGACAGCCGCCGGGCTTTTCTACGGAACTTCAGAGTTTGCACTTTCAGTTCTTTGCATTTTCGGATTTCATGGTGACTTGCATGAGAGATTTACGTCTTCGAATTCATTGCGGCTGCGCCTTTGAGTTCACAGATGTACCACAACATTTCACCTTCCACCCCGTACGGGACATGACATTTCACATTTTACCATGCATCACCTGTTTCAAGCTCTTCATCCTCCATCTCATTTTCATGCTTGCCATTCCACTCCTTCACCTTTTCATGATTTCATTCCACGGGTACAAGTAGCAGAGACTTTCAGCAGCTGCCGCGCCACGCCGGTGCCATTGAGTAGCCGCCACCTTTGAAGCTATAGCGTTTCGATTGGAACCTCGATTATCACCAACATCGAGCCAATGCAGTATCCATGGCCATATCCCTGCTGGACTCAGCAACCACCACCTACCGCAGCCCACACATTTCCCATACAGCAGACGCAACCTCACATGCCTCCCATGATTCCACACATACCACCGACATTGCCTCACATGCCACAGCCAACATGGCAGCCTCCACCACAACCACACTTCCAACCACCAACTCAGCTCATACCTCAGATACCGCATCACCATACGATTCCATTCTCCTACTCACTGCCTCCGCCGGAACCCTCGCCATCACAACCTCCCACCATGATTTCCCCACAACCACAACCACCACCAGTACCTCATGCATAACCACCTCCACCACAAGCCTGCCAGCCGGCACCAATGCAATGGGACTACACCCAGGGAGTGCAACCATTTTCGGTTTTTCCGCCAGTCGCTCAACCGGGTCATGTTCCACCAGGCCCAACTCAACCAAGCCAGACCTCGGCAGTCGCCACTTCATCTCCTCCTGACCCTTTGCCTGCTGCAGCACCAGCATCACTTCCCGCCGCAGCCACTCCTGGCCTCCAGTCGCCAACCTCTACAGCACCCTCAACACAAGCAGACCGCCCTGGCACTGAGCAAACCTCTTCAAATCCTCTTTCACACACACCACCACCTTCTACCGCAGCAGCCTCCAATCCATCAGACAATCCTCTCGGCACACACATCCCCAAACCACCACCAGCTCACCCACAAACCACCGCCACACACCCACTCCCAGCATCCACCGCTCCCAGTCACCAAAGCAGCAGCCACCGCCGACCCCATCGTCGCCGCCATCGCCATCACACTCGAGGCAGGCGCACTCGCCGCCGCCGCACCACACGCTCAACCACCCAGCAGGATACCTCTCACGGACATCAATCAACACGACACCACCGCCAACGCTCACCTTCTTCTACCTACTCCACCTACTCCTACAGCCGCTCACGCAGTCGCTCCAGGCCACCCATTTCTCTTCTACCCAACTACGGCAATACAACAAGATGCTGTCACGAACCAGTCACACACCAGCTATCCCAACATCCCTGCTCTACGCCGACCTGCCAAACCATGGCGACCACTTCCACAATTTCAACAACGCACCCCACAAGAACAACTGGAACTTTGGCTTGATTATCACGCCGACCAGCTCGACGCGCCCAACAAACCACAACACACTTACATCGCCACCCTGCTGCTCGACAGCGGCCTTACTTACAAAGACCTCTCAGATTTCCGACAATTCACTCACATCAAATGGAACGACACCACCAACACTCACGACATTTACCAATACCAATGCATCACCATTCCCAGCCTTGTGCAGAAAGCAACCCGCAGCTTTCCACCACCCGCCACACGTGCCACCTCCACCACACCAGAGATGGTACACATCAACGTGGGCCATACCGGCCCTCTCGCCAACATCACCAACATCTTACAACAGGGCCGTTTCCTGCCCAGCACACTCCACTTCGCCAACAACCCGGGCTTCTTTGCCCAGGCCGTACGCATCACGCGGCAACCACAACACGACAACGCTGAACACGCCCGCATTCTCCACAACACATGGAACCTCGCAGAGAGCACGCACTCAATCATTATCAACCTCCTCGCCACCAAATTCACTAGCGGCGGCGAGGAGCAAGCGATGAACCTGCTTCTCCAAAACCACGGCGCCGTTTGCCACGCAAAAGCCCGATGCTGGGTTATCCACCCTGACAACGCAATCGTCAAAGGCCTGGCGTGGTCGATCAACTCCACTCCACCAGACACCTGATACCCTACACCAACAGCTTCTACCCTGATGGCCAACTTTCCAACTGTTTCACCCATTGCCGCGCACGACTCGCCTGGCCAAAAAGAACCTGAGCAAGGTTCGACTTCCATGAGCAGCGCTTCGATCACCCGGACACCATGTCTGTTTCACTTCATGGCAGGTTGGTTTTGACTTTTGATGTTCGAAATGCGACATGTCACACTGCTCGAGTTTCCTTTGGTTGTTCAGGAGTTAACCTCCATGTGATCTTGATTCAACATGGATACTGTGGCCTCCTGACCCCGACGGATTCCGATTCTTCATGCGTTTCAACTTGTGGTCCTCAAAGACCCTGTGAGGCCTCCATGAAGGCCCCACTTTTGCTGCGAAATTCATGCGCGCTGCGAAATTCATGCTCGATAATTCGCATTCGATAATTCACTTGCACGTCTCAGCCGTTCGTTCATGCTACCTGGGCCGCCGCGCTGAGCCTTCCGCGCTGCCGCGCTGCTGTACAAGAATATTCATCACCCAAGCTGTCACACAGGATGAATCCTAACCCAGATCACACTCAGTTGCTTCACCGCACCACCATCGCTCTCACACAACTACACCGCCTTCTCCAATAAGCAACTGACATTCTGGCAAATCTACATAGCCTATACCTGCTCCACACAGGACAGGTTGATGCTCATTTCCAACGCTCTTTTCCCCCTCTTCCGCCACCTCCTTCTTGCACCATACCAATCCCATCACCCACGTCCTCTTGCGACTCAGCACCCATCCGCCCACTTCGTACAACACCACACAAACCAACAGCATCTCTTGACTCCTCTTCCCCCGCACCACTGCCACAGCCACCACAACCCAAGAAGCGACGTGAACCAGCACCGCCACTGAACCCCCAAGCTGATTGGGACGCTTGGGACGGCGAAGCAGATAGCCGTCTCGTGGAGCTGAAGTCAGACATCCGTCTCCGCCCCAACTGGAACTACGTTGCCCGACGGGTGGGCTTTTCCATCGAACAGTGTCAAGCCCGCTGGCAGGAACTTCAGGATTTACAACGACTCCAAAACGCCTCCACACGACCTCAGTCTTCTCATCCACCCCTCTCCAATCACATCACCAGTCATCTCCCACTCCCACATCACCTGCACGCACACCACCAGCAGTTTCTCCTCCTCCCACTTCACCAGCACCAACGCCACCAACAACACCTCTCCAGCAGTTACACTCTGCAGCAGACTTCTCCGACTCTTCATCTCCACCTCCTCCATTATCATCAGCGGGTGACTACACAGCGGCTGCGAGGCGCACCAACAGT